ACTCATCGGGAATCGCATATTTATAATTTAACTTTATAGTTACTGATTTTTAATTAGCAAATCAGACGCCTTTTAAGTGAACAGTATTGATTTTTCAGTTCGTTTAGTTAGGTAGTTTCTCAAACATTATCTGATGTATTTAGCCAGGTAGCAGGTTGTGTTTGACAGATTAGCTCATTCTAAATCTATACGCATTTCTTACGAAATGTATGATTGTATGTGTTTACACTGAGGGTGTCATATGTTAAAAATATATTTAGTAAGTCATTAGTCTAGATTTCATGTCCAGAGGGGATGAGGGCTAATTGGATTTCTTACCAGCCCCAGTCTAATTTTCTCATGAGGTTATTTTGAACTAGATGTGCATTTCCTGAATAAGCAGCACTTGATAATGGGCAGCAAAAGGATAGTGTTAGTGTATGAGTTGTGTAATTTTTGGGGGGTTAAATTATCTCAAAAATTAAAGAGAAGGCAACCCAGTCTTTGTAAACAATCATGACATTAATCTAAAAACTGTAATGCTATTACACTCACTAATGTATTTTTTCATTATTATATTGGTGTGTCATCATATTGATTGTTTTATTGTAAATATAAAGCAAAAGTATTATGCATCAATAATACAGTGTACAGTACTTTTACAGCATTTAATACATTAATGTTAATTTCTACATATACTAATAGACTTTTAACATTTGAAGTAAAATTATTGTATTACCTAATATTAATTTATAAATATTTTTTTACAACCTTAGTGTATTTATAATTAAACTAGATTAATAAATGCTGTAGACAAAAAAATGTTGTTTATTATTCATGATACCTAATGCATTTACTAATGTTGTGTTTGAATATGATTAATTTCACAGAATAAAGTCCTTAGTAATTACACTTTATAAATGATTTATGCAAAAACAAAACTTCAAATTATGTGTAATAAAGAATGAAAAGAAACATCCTAAAAGTAAAACCCAACCTAAAGTTTAAAATCGAAAAAATAAGTAAATCTAAAATAATAAACTAATGTTAACCAAATAAACCTTGTTAAGTGTTACTTAGTGTTTTGTACAATGGAAAGTTGTCTGTGCTGTCTGCTTAACTAAAAACTGCTAAACTGCTGATTTTGATGCTGCTTGTTGTTCTCAGCGTTGTGTGTTTTCTGTGTGTCTTTCACGTGTATCTCAGTGTGTCATCATGACGACGCTTGATGATAAGCTTCTTGGGGAGAAGCTGCAGTATTACTACAGCAGCAGTGAGGATGAAGAGAGTGACCATGAGGAAGAAGAGAATGCATCCAAAACCATCCGCGACCAGGAGGTGCTGGATGTGGAACTTGACTACAGTGCAGATGGCAGTTCGGTCAACACTGGTACGGTTAAACGTGAAATATGAACACAAATTTGTACTTCTCTCTCTCACGGCCTCTGATTAAAAGATGCTGCATCCACGTTCATCAACCACACATCCGTGAGACTGCTGACACGTCTGACTGTCCCACAGGGCCGAAGGGAGTGATCAATGACTGGCGTAAATACAAGCAGCTGGAGAACGAGCAGCGCGTGGAACAGCAGAAAGAGATGGAGCGACTCATCAAGAAACTCAGCATGACCTGCAAGTCGCATCTAGAGGAAGAAGCCGACAGACAGAAACAGAAAGAGCTGCAGGATAAGATCGCAGGCAAAGTGAGAAACACTGTACACTAGTCCGAATGTCACAGAATATCACGATACAGTGGTTATTGTCTGTTATAGGTTTTACTGATATTTTGAATGTTCTATTTTAATTTTAATTGAAGTTTTAGTCATTTGTTTTTGTTTTTCAGATTTTTTTTTAATGTCTTTTTTTTACCATTTTATTTAATTTTTAGTTGTTTTAGTACTTCAACTTAAAAATAAATGAAAATTAGAAATGTTGCCTTCACAACTACTTGAAATAAGATAAGATTTACATTTTTCTTACGGCAATTAACTTATTTTATTTCAAGTAACGAAAATGTTTTTAATGATTCTAGTTAATTATAATAACCCTAACTATTCATATCAAATGAATAATCTCACTTTACATAAAAAAATTTAAACTAATTATTAAAAATATAGGTAACATTTTCTAAGTTTTTTTTCAATTCTATTTTTCTTTGCCCTCCCCATTTCTGAATATCAGCAACAAAATTTAATTCTCCCTTTTTTCTTTTATTTTGCTTCAGATGAACCTCCGTGTGGATGAAGAAGAGGAGGAGGAGGAGGATGATGATGAAGCCTTCCTCCAGCAGTATCGTCTGCAGCGCATGGAGGAGATGCAGCGACAGCTGTGTGGAGGGCGGCGCTTCGAAAAGGTGATTGACATCTCTTCAGGTGAGGAGTTCCTGCGTGCCATTGACGAGGAGGGCAAGAACACTCTGGTGCTGGTCCACATCTATGAGCCAGAGGTGCCCGCCTGCCAGGCTATGGATGGAAGCCTGCTCTGCCTTGCAATGCAGTACCCAATGGTAACACTGATGAAGAATGTTTTCATTATAGGGCTTTAAAGGAATATTTCAGCATAAAATTTAAATTTGCTAAACATTTAGGTCATCCAAGATGTAGATGAGTTTGTTTATTCACCGGAACTGATTTGGAGAAATTTACATCACTTGCTCACAAGTGGATCCTCTGCAGTGAATGGGTGCCGTCAGAATAAGAGTCCAAACAGCTGATAAAAACATCACAGAAATCCAAAAGTAACCAACACCACTCCAGTCCATCAGTTATTTTCTTGAGAAGCGAAAAGCTGCGTGTTTGTAAGAAACAAATCCATCAAGACGTTTTTACTTTTAATCGTTGCTTCCTTTATCCATAAAATCTCTTCCTGCAGTGAAAAAGTCCATCCCCTGTTGTCCTCATACATATTTCCACCCAGGTATTTGTTTAGAACTGTTTAGGACTGGTTTCACCTGTAAACACTGTTTGATTTGTGCATGTTTCTCTCCTGATTCAGACAGGACAACTTTTTAACTGGAGAAAGCGTTATTATGGATAGGGGACTAATTTTTGTAGGAAGCAATTGTTTAAAGTTAAAAATGTCTTGATGGATTTGTTTCTTACAAACACGCAGCTTCTCACTTCACACGGCATTAACTGATGGACTGGAGTGGTGTGGATTATTGTGATGTTTTTATCAGCTGTTTGGACTCTCATTCTGACGGCACCCATTCACTGCAGAGGATCCATTGCTGAGCAAGTGATGCAATGCTACATTTCTCCAAATCTGTTTCCATGAAGAAAAAAACTCATCTACTGTACTTATTTTATAGCCAGAGTAAATTTGCAGCAAATTCTCATTTTTGAGTAAACTGTTCTTTTAATTTGTATTAAGTTGTGATTTCTTACTTCTCTATTCCTCTCCTTGACCTGCAGGTGAAGTTCTGTCGGGTCCGGGGCTCTGCAGTCGGCACCAGCGCTCTTTTCCGCAGTTCGGCTTTGCCGGCCCTGCTGCTGTACCGCGGCGGTGAGCTGGTGGGGAATCTGGTGCGTGTGTCCGATCAGCTTGGAGATGATTTCTACGCCACAGACGTCAAAGCTCTGCTGCAGGAATACGGGCTTCTTCCAGAGAAATACACTCAGCCAAACACACACTCGTCTATTCGCAATGCCGCTGTCACTCACCCTAACGAGTCAGACAGTGACCTGGATATAGACTAAATGCATAATGTCTGTATACAAACACACAGATCCAGAAGAATATACACTCTTGTATACATTCACATAGTGATTCAGACCCAATACAGTGACCAAAAACATAAACAACGGTTGCAGCTCAGAAAAATGTGAGATACACTACTGTCAACACGGAATCTCTGTGCAAACGTTACGCCATTCACAGATCGTGATTACTGGAACAATACAGTAGATATCATTAGATGTCTTTATGTGCGTGTCATTTCAGACACTGTTTCTTTATGCAATCAAAAATGCAAAACCCTTCAGAGAACCCTGCATCAATGCATCACTATTTATTATAGTTTTAGATTTATATGTTTGTTTATTTGTTTGTATTTTTGGACATCTTAGTTTGCTTTACCCTTTGTTAGTTTTATCCATTTTGTAAACATATCCATCAAGACAAATGCAAAAATAAAAACAAATGATTCAGAAGTTACCCTTTTCTTGTGGTTATTTTTATATGTATGCATTTTCTATGCATTTTAGGAGGAAAGTTGGTTTAAAAACTCTAACTCTAATATATTTTCTTTAGCTAATGCTTATTGCCAGTATGTAATATTAAGCAAAATTTTCAGCTACATATAATCTGGTGTCTTTATATTTATTTATATATATATATATATATATAGTTTTTTTAAAATATAAAATACAATTTAATTTTATAATATAACAAAAATTAATTTAAAAAGTTATATTAATAATTATTAATATAAAATAAATTCAAAGAAATATATAAATAAAAAGCATAACTTTTAACTTAACGTTTAACTCATTTACTCGGTATATTATACAACCATTTTATTAAAGATGTAATGTCTTTATTTACTTTGATGATGTAATCTAAAAATGTTGAGAACATTTTGTGAAGCTGTATGGCAGAGTTAATATCTGTTTTGTTTTGTTTTTGACACTATGGAACTTATTTTAGAGAAATATGTCGAATTAGTAAATTCTAAATCTAAGAGAATAAACCATGGTCCGTTTGCTCACTTTTGTTTATGTGCAAAACATTGAATTATTTAATTACACGCCGAGATCGAGGGGGCGCCTTTTAGCTGTAGGACAGTCTAGGCAGCACACGAAAATTACAGCTCACACTCAGCAGATTGTGGTATTTATGTAATATTTTATGTTTATTTTTTGTCGTGAATGGGGCGGGGCCAAACGGGAAAGATCCGTGACGTCACATGTACACGTCGCCAAGCAGGACGCGCTCGGCCAAGATGGCGGACAAGTGTCAGCCGCGGTGTCCTGTACTTTTCTGAGAAACTCAACTCCAGCCGCGCTCGTATCGAGTTTTGTTTGTATCTGTGCATCTCGACTGGAAGATAACGGGTAAGAGATCCCGTATGGAGCAGCGTGTTCAGTTCTGACAGTTCTGTGGTTCGAGAGATTAACTGCAATAGTTAGCATGCTAACGGCTAGTGGCCCAGTCAGCTGTCACCTGTAATTCCTCTCATCCTCTGTTTACATTTCTTATGTTGATTCCTTTGTGTTTCTTCTCGTGATATTTCAAAATTTTACTGTCCAGGTGCGTAGTTACATTTGCAGGCTTCGTTGATTAGTTATGTTGTGATTTAGCTACAGATTCTTTGCCTTTTGCCTGCTTGGTTTACACTGCTGTAAGTGTATTTAGTGTGTATGTTTTGTTTTGACAGTTTTGTGCACTAAGCACCATGATCCACATTAACAGCATGACATCGTTTTTGTGTGTTTTCAATACATTGATACTAGACCTCTTATAAGTACGTTTGTTGTTGTAGTTAAAGAGACAGGAATTAAAGACCAGGATGTGACATCAGTGAGGGGCGCTATACGTGTCCGCCTAGGAGCCGGATATAATGCAGCATATTGCAACATTCTCTCTGTATATGCACATTGCATATTTTTTTATTAAAATATTTTGTGTATTATTATGCTTTTAGCCACGGATGAGAGTGTTATCTGTCATCTCAGATCAAAATCTCAGACAACACAAAACGTCCTGTACATGACTGCGTTGCCAACTGTGTGGTAACACAGACTGTTAAATGGCACCTCAACTGAATTATCAGCCCTTGGGCTCCAGAAATTCCATTATGTCCTTTCTGTCTGGCTGCTTTATTGTTTACAATCGGTTCAAATGCAGTGTTATATCTGGGTGTTTTGTGATCCATAATGGCTGGAGTGTAAGCAGAGACGAGATTACTCTGGATGTACAGTATCTGTTTGGACTCCTAGCTACTCATTCTTGATTGTTTCTATTTCTCACATTTTAGATCAAGACTGAAACGACACCAATGGAAGTATGTGAATACTAAATGACCAATATAATGTTAAAAAAAATTAAAACTATCATATATTTGAGCTTCTTCAAAGTTACCACCCTTTGTCTAGATTACAGTTCTGCAAAGAGCTTTCTAAAAAATGCATGCATAAGTGTAATTACACTACCATTCAAACGTTTGGGGCATTTTAGTTGTTCAAAAATACAGTAAAAACACTATTCATGTGAAATATTATTACAATTTGAAATAATTATTTTCCATTTGAATATATTTTCAAATGTAATTTATTCCAGTAATGGCAAAGTTGAATTTTCAGCAGCCATTATTCCAGTCTTCGTTGCCACATGATCTTTCAGAAATCATTCTAAAATGCTGAGTTGATGCTCAGGAAACAGTCATTCTTATTATCAATGGTGAAAACAGTTGTGCTGCAATATTTTTGTCGAAACCATGATACATTTGATGAATAGAAGGTTCAAAAGACAAAGCATTTATTTGAGTTAGAAATATCTTATAACGTTGTCTTTTCTGTCAATTTTGATCAATTTAATGTATCCTTGCTGAATAAGTATTAATTAATAGTATTAAATCTTTAAAAAATATATATATCTTACTGACTCCAGACTTTTATAGTACGGTAGTGTATATTTGTCTAGAAAAGCATTTAAGCATAAACTTTTAAATCAAAAGGTTTTCAATAAAAAAACATAATGGGAAACATTATATTCCGTTAAATGTGTCCAATAGGGATGTAACGGTATGAAAATTTCATATCACGGTTATAGTGACCAAAGTTATCACGATTATCAATATTATCACGGTTTTGTTAAAATTAGATGAAAACGTTCAAAAAGAACTGATACACACACTGAAAACATTTCAATAAGTTTTATATTTGAAAATCAACAAACAACAAATACAATTAGCAGCTATATGCACTTTTTTTTTAGCAAAAACATTAAATTAACATCAACATGAAGCCCTAATAATAATAATAATAATAATAAACGAAACCATGATACATTTGATTAATAGAAGGTTCAAAAGACAAAGCATTTATTTGAGTTAGAAATATCTTATAACGTTGTCTTTTCTGTCAATTTTGATCAATTTAATGTATCCTTGCTGAATAAGTATTAATTAATAGTATTAAATCTTTAAAAAATATATATATCTTACTGACTCCAGACTTTTATAGTACGGTAGTGTATATTTGTCTAGAAAAGCATTTAAGCATAAACTTTTAAATCAAAAGGTTTTCAATAAAAAAACATAATGGGAAACATTATATTCCGTTAATAAATGTGTCCAATAGGGATGTAAATGGTATGAAAAAAAGGTATGAAAATTTCATATCACGGTTATAGTGACCAAAGTTATCACGATTATCAATATTATCACGGTTTTGTTAAAATTAGATGAAAACGTTCAAAAAGAACTGATACTGAACTGTTGCCATCTGGTCGACGCTACAGAGCTCTGAGCACCAGAACGACCAGACACAGGAACAGTTTCTTCCCTCAGGCCATCCATCTCATGAACACTTGACAATAACTGTGGAACACACACTATTTATTCACTCATACACTTATTTATCTAACACACACACACACTCAGTCTACATTTCAATTTGCACATAATATACCTGTACATACAACGGTCTACTGTTATATACCTGTACATACAATTGTCGATTTGTATATTTTTATTCCTTATTTACTTGTTCTATTTTTCTATTTTTTATTATCTGTGTGTTTGTTCTGTCACTGTCATTCTGTTACACTGTGGAGCTTCTGTCATGAAAACAAATTCCTCGTATGTGTAAACATACCTGGCAATAAAAACTCATTCTGATTCATTCATTCTGAATATACAATACATTATCCCTTAAATGTCAACCTTATATTTTGAACGTCCGTTCGTCTTGGCTCAAAGCCATTTGCTGCAAACTTTTCTTCGCGGAAGCTTTGCGTTAAACAAGCGAGATAACGCAATATTTAATCTCTAATCAATATTTTTTGTCCAATTATTTGCCCGGTTAGTTTTGGTATTGAGGTCAAAGTTACCTTGCATTCGCTATATAACAGTGGGGGGTGGTCACGAAGATGACTGAGCAAATTTGATGCGTTTCCCCCTTTTGCAGTGACTTTCTTCTTGCAAGATCAGCAGACAGGGTGACCGTCCTCGATTAAATTGCCTTCAGGACTCTTGTAAAAGCCAAAATACGACCAGACCACCGATTTGGTTCTCTTGGACGGCTGAAAAATCTCCCGAGCGCTGTCACTGCCTTCCACCATTTCGTCTCGTGCAAAAAAACAACAACAAGACTGCATGCTGCTTCTGCATCAGACTGATGCTGGCTGAACAGGATTTACCGCGAGTTTTCAAAATTGCGATAATCAAACACGGTTTTGATGATAATTAAATTTTAAACGGTAATACTAACCGTCAGGGCATTTTATCGTGATTTATCGTAAAACCGGTAATCGTTACATCCCTAGTGTCCAAATGTATGACCAATGCTATTTTTGTCACTGTGGTGTGACAGAATGTTGTTGTTTAATGATAAACACTGTATTTTCATAAAGAGAAACTGCATCTGTCCCCTGTTGTTGTAGATTAAACTATGTACTTGTAGAGGTGAGGCCCCCTGCTTTAAAAAATGTCTGACAGGTTTCAAAGTTCAATGTAACTTAATGCACATTTCTAACACCCGGCACGCAGTGTGCCTGATATCAGGTTTCTGATCGTGGTGACTGTCCATATGCCAACATAGTGGAGTACTGCTGTCTTCACCCCTGCTCATAATAAGGCTTATGAATCTCAGATGGTGTGATAATGTTTGTGTTTGTGTTTCTGAGAAGAAACTTGGTTTTAACAAAATGAAGTCAAAATTTATGCTACTTGCGCAATCTATCAGTTCACTTTTTTTTAAATAGACTGACATACTGTATAAAACCACTGCATGTCTTGTTCATGAAGGGTGCCACGTTGCCCATGTTGACATTCTCACCATATAATGTTTAAAGCAGAATGGTCATTGTTATTTTAGCTGAGCAGCTATTAGCAGTATTAATTGAACTTTGGATGTGTGTTCACATGATGCATGTTGATAACAGGCAAACCCTGTGGTAAAACCATACAATCTTTGCACCAAGATATGACATAAATCTTTGTTTTTCCACTATAGGGAGATCTCCAGTAAGTGTAAACACTTTGGAGACCTGTGAGTGTAAACGATGCAGCCCCCTCCTCGGACAGCCCCTCCTGGAGCTAGTGGGCCTCCGCCTCCCTCTGGTGGACCAAATGCCTTCAGAAGAACCAGACCTCACAAGCATGGGGCTGCAGCTGCTATGACACCGGCTGCCCCACCCACACAGCCAGTGACTGATCCTTTTGCCTTTGGAAGACAAAGTTTTTCACCCATGGCAGAGGCCAGCCAAGTTCCAACCACAAACAGCAACCCACTTCATATGCAAGGTCCTCCCCTGCCCGTGTTTAACCCAACGACTCCACCACAAGGGCCACCACCAGGAGCAGTGCAGGCAGCCTCTCCTGGCCCACCACCAAGAATTTTTACACCTCAACCAGTTCTCCCAGGGCCCGCACCAAACTCCAATCCTCCACCTGTAGAACCAGGATACTTTAATTCCCAAGAACCTATGCCCTATATAGCACAATTACCTAACCCTGCTTCTTCTTTCAGTTCTGGTTCATCACATCCACCCTTCACTGCCCCAACACCTCCAGTTCAATCCCAGACTCCTTTTCAATCCCAGCCAACGCCTCCCCTACCTTCTCACTGGGTGCCTGACCACAGAAGCCGCCCACCTTCTGTTCAGAACTACTTTCAGCCAACTAGTGATCTCCCATCTCAGCCTTTTCAAGCTCAAGCCCCACCCCCTGTGCCCTCTTCCCACACAGCCCCACCATTGACACAATTTCAGAATCAAGGTCAGTCAGCTCAACCAAATGTGACTGGGCCTGCTCCAACTCAGCAACTCAACTCCCACTTCCCGGCTCAAAATTACTTCAGTCAGTCAGGTGGACCCTTAGAGCCATGGTTCAATCAAAACCCACAGGATCCGTCTCAGCGTGCCTGCCCTGTCTCCTACTCTGAAGTTCCCAGTGATTCCGGAACTCTCTCAATGTTCTTTCGGGGCAATGATGTTGAAAATGAAGAAACACTGTCAGGGGAGGGACGTGTAAATGGGATTCATCACCCTTTCCATTCGACGACTGAGTTCTCTGGTCCATATTTGAATGACACTGGTAACATTCGAGCCGGGGCAGGGCCATGTGATTCTGTGGAGAATCAGGAATGTGTTCCAAACCAGGAAGTGCTGCCTAGTGAGCCTCCTCCAAGCCATGCCTTTGAGGGGGGGCCTAATTTGGAGACACCTGACACTGGCCCTCGTCTTGCCCGCTCTGCAAGTGTTTCATCCAGCTACAGTAATGTCAGTCACAGCAGTGGGCACGTTCCTCAGAGCGGCAGCCACATCCCTCTGCGACAGCAAGGTGTAGTGGGAACATTTATCCAACAGGAAAGTCCCCGCCCACCAGATCACCCTGCTTTGCATCCCTCCACTGGTGGATATTTTGAACAGATAGACTCCAATCCAGCTGCAGAGGCAAGTCCTACTTTCCCAACTCCTAGCCCACCTAAACCCGTTGGTGTGTTCCAAGCGAGTGCAAATTCTTCCTTTGAGCCTGTCCGCTCACATGGTGTAGGAGTTCGACCTGCTGAGGTTGACCGTGCACGTATGGTCATGGAAAAGGGTGGACGTGACATGCAGCCTGGCAACCTAGAACAACCTCCAGATAACTTGGAGACAATTTACTTACCGGAACGCCGACCCTCATCTCGAGCTCAGGGAGCACGACGCCCCATTGAGAGTCCCGCTACTACACTCTGGGCTCAAAATGACACTGCCAGTCTAGGTGCTAACATACTGTTAGCCCCTGCAGCACCCTCGCTGGCTGCAACATTTGTTCCAGCACATCCATCCGAAGTCGTCCAGCCACCAGAGGATGGCCCTCTTGATTTGCATCCAGCAAACCCAGATCCACAACCTCCCACTGAAAATCTGGAAATTCCCCCAGACTCCACGCCTCAGACAAGTGTGGGATATGCCTCCTTGCTGGTGACCTCGCCTCCCGTAGAGGCCCTGAACCAGCCTCTGTCGATTGCGCCACCTTCCAGTTTGGTTTCCTCTCAAAACCTCTTACAACCCTTCAATCAGACAAGTCCTCAAGAGACAGCAACACCTGTGCACCCACACCCTCAGTCTTCTGTGACCAATCAAATGCCTCAGAATTCTCCTCCAACAAATCAGTCACAGCCTCTTTTCTCTCAGACACCAGTAAACTTCAGCACTTCTTCCACTCAATGTATCTTGAACCTAGCACAAGTGGCAAAAGATGTTCAGCCCTCTGTTCAAGCAGCCCGACCCGTTCTCTCAAATTATGAGCTGCTTGATTTTTCTATGCATCAACCACAGTCCACGAATCAGGTGATGGTCCCAGCTGTCTCTCAGTCTGCCCATCCTGCGGGCTTGGTGAATAACACACCCGGCTTTTACCTGCAGGTCACCAAAGATGCACAGCAGGGTGGGCAGTCTGACAGCGAGGCACTGCCCCTTCTGCAGAACTCAAACACCCCACGACCCTGCAGCAACCAACCTGTCAATGATCCAATTCACACCTCCCACCCTGCCCATCCACCTCCAGCTCAACACCAGCCTCCTCCACATGCCCCGCCAACTCAACCTGGTGTCCCTCTCGGATCTGCCCTACCTTCCTCTTACCCACCCCAGTCTGGGAACTCTGCCCCCCAGCCACTTCAAGAACCCCAAAGACCTCCTTCATCTCTAGGTGATCAGTCAGGTTATGGTGCTCCTCCTGCGATGCCACCTGGTCCGGGTTACGCAGGGTACTACCCGGGACCCTACCCTGAGTACCAGAATGGAAGACTGCCGTACCCACCCCAGTACCCTATGGATCCCAGATCTCAAAGCTACTATCAGGTGCAGTGATGTAATGATCTAGTATGTTTCCACATATCAAAGCTTCTAAATTCCAGACTTAAAACATGACTTGGTAAAATATTCATAATGTTCTGTATGTTTTTAATTTTGTAGGATGATCCCTACCGTAGAGGAGATCCTCGATACGGATGGTATGATGGTCAAAATCCTGGCTACCGGGAGGCTGAACGTCAACCAGAGAGGCCAAGTTCTCAAACCAGCCAATACTCAGACAGACCCAACTCTAGGTCAGATCATTCACTCTCTTTCTGACACTTTGAGTCTGTTTTCATACTTGGTTTCTATTGCTTGGTCGCAATCAGGGTTTCTAGCTGTTTACCACTAGAATTTTTTATTTTACACCGTAACTTAAAGGGGACCTATTATGCAAAGAGTAAGTATCACGCGTTTGTTTTCCAAATTGCCTTTCTGAGAGAGCTTCTTGGCACTCTGTAAGGCTAATGTTGCTAAAGCTACCATTGTCTGTCTGTTTTCACTGATGCTGCCTTCACGTGCTACCAGAATTGATCGTGAATATGAATGTGGTAGTTAAAAATTGCATATGAAAGCAATGTGAAATCGACCGCTTGAATTTGTCTAGCTCATAATCATGTTCGGGACTTATAAAGTTTGTGTTAGCACGCAATCGCACCATGAGACCAGCTATGTTGTTATTTTTATAGCGCCGTGCTCCCCGTCTGTGTAATTCATAAATAATCTGGCAGGGTGCAGAATTCGGCATGACACCGGTTCGAACATATATGGCTGAACACCGCTACTAGCAGTTTCTGACATTTCCAGTGCGTGAGAGAGTGTTTTGTTATTGCTGGGATGCCGGTGCGCAAGCTCTAGAAACTCCACCCTCTTCTGAAAGGGGAGGCGGGAGCACCAGCTCGTTTTCATTTAAAGGGACAAACAGAAAACAGTTCATACCCTAAAAATGGCAATTTCAACAAGCTATAAAAAATTATCTTATTTTGAGCTAAAACTTTACATGCACACTCTGGGGACATCAGAGACTTATTTTACATCTTGTAAAAAGGGGCATAATAGGTCACCTTTAACGTGCACAAAATGGTTCCTGAATACATTTCATCATACCCAGAATCTGTTGTGACTCTTCAGCATCAAAAGCCCTAGTTTCAAAGCATCCTTAGACTGAGCATTTTGTACTTTTTGTTTTTAATATTAATAACATGTTTCCCTTGTTTTTCAAATTTTTGATCTTAGACAGGGGTATCAAGAAGACTTTTCTAGATCCAGCCGTAGTGCCTATGATGACTACTATGCAAACTACTATAAAAGACAGAATGATGCCTATGGAGGTAAAGACAGCACTACAGACACTTGTTCTCTATGCACCCAAGGGCTAAATATGGTTTCTGCTTTTTGCTTATGAGTCTGTGTTTGTGTATTCAGATAGGAGCAGGTGGTATGATCCAAATGCTGCTTATGATCCACGCTACAAAGCCTACTATGATCAAGCATATGGCTGGTACTATGGAGATGCCTACAACAACCAACAATATCAAAACAGGTACACAAATACACTTGTGCAATCAATGTTTTTGTACGTGCTGACACCTCTCTAACTGAGTTTTCATGGTAATGGTTGCTAGGGGAAGAGAGGGCTATGATGATCCATGGAGATATTACCCTGGTTATGACTCAAGCTTTGATGATGACTACCGGCGCCGCGATCCATACGCTGACGATTTTGACCGCCGTTCGGTTCACAGTGAACGATCAACACACAGTGTTCATTCATCACACAGTCAACACAGTAACTTCAGCTCACGGTCTCAACAGGTCTGTGTGTGTGTGTGTGTGTGTGTGTGTGTGTGTTTTTAGATCGTATTGTGTCTGTAACAAATTTCTTCCTTATACAGAGTCAAGTGTATAGAAGTCAACCAGATTTGGTCAGTGCAGCATATGATACCACTGGGACGACTCTTCCAGCGGATTACACCTACAGCCAGTATCCTAACCCTTCAGATACTGTAGATTACAGTCAGATTTCTTACTCTACAGACAACACCTGGACTGCCCCAGAGCAGCGTAAGTATTACACATAAAGCCCAATGTCCACCATGATGTTGCATTTAACATTGGGATTTTCTTTTAAAAGCACTTTTAGCTGTAGCTTAGCATAGATCATTGAATCTGATTAGACCGTTAGCATATTGCGCAAAAATGACCAGAGTTTCGATATTTTTCCTATTTAAAACTTGACTCTTCTCTAGTTACATCAAGTACTAAGACCGATGGAAAATTAAAAGTTGCGATTTTCAAGGCCTATATGGCTAGGAACTATACTCTCATTCCGGCGTAATAATCAAGGAACTTTGCTGCCGTACCATGGGTGCAGCAGCTAAAAGTGCTACCGCCAGACCCGGAGATCGGCTGAATGGATTCGAAACTCAACTGTTTAACTCTAGGGGAGTTGGAAAATGAGCCTATTTTCAAAAATAGTGGAGTGTTCCTTTAAAATTATTAAAGTATTGATTTTACACTTAATGCACATGCATTAAATGGATAGTTCACCCAAAAATGAAAATTAGCCAATGATTTACTCACACTCAGGGCATCAGACGAACACAATCGCAGTTATATTTTAAATTGTCCTGGCTCTTCCAAGCTGTATAATGGCAGTGAATGATGCCCCTATTTTTGAAGCCTAAAAATCTGCATCCATACATCATAAAACTACTCCACACGGCTCTGGGGTGTTAATAAAGGCCTTCTGAAGCTAAACGATGCATTAGTGTGAGAAAAATATAGATTTTTAAAAATTTATAAACTGTAATCTCCATCTTCCGGTCGCTCAAGCAGGCGCATTCACGAAAAGACGTTTGAGCGTATGACGTAGGCATAGCGGAAGCTCCGTGGAGAGAGTGACGAATGTGGAAGCACAGAGGAGAAAGCAAAACAAAACACCCGTCACAAACTAGTACTACAAAACCTGCCATATTTGTTTGAACCGGAGTATACTGGCCAGGAACTCTGCGAGATTGAGGAGGCTGCAGCACAAACTACAGATGTAGTTCACGTGGTTTCCCTGTGCTGTAAACAAAACTTGGTTCTCGCAAGATTACACTCTTCTCTACGGAGCTTACGATGCGCATTCCGCTACGCCTACGTCATATGCTCGAACACCTTGTCGTGAATGCGCCTACTTGAGCAACCGGAACCTGGATTACAGTTTATAATTTTTGAAAAATCTATATTTTTCTTACACTAATGCATCATTTCACTTCAGAAGGCCTTTATTAACACCCCGGAGCCATGTCGAGTAGTTTTTGAGCGTATGATATACTGGCCACGGAAGCTCCGTGGAGAGAGTGACGAATGTGGAAGCACAGAGGAGAAAGTAAAAGGTTTCCCTGTGCTGTAAGCAAAACTTGGTTCTCGCAAGATTACACTCTTCTCTACGGAGCTTACGATGCGCATTCCGCTACGCCTACGTCATATGCTCGAACACCTTGTCGTGAATGCGCCTACTTGAGCAACCGGAACCTGGATTACAGTTTATAATTTTTGAAAAATCTATATTTTTCTTACACTAATGCATCGTTTCGCTTCAGAAGGCCTTTATTAACACCCCGGAGCCATGTCGAGTAGTTTTATGATGGATGGATGCCGTTTTTTAGGCTTCAAAAACAGGGGCACCATTCACTGCTATTATACAGCTTGGAAGAGCCAGGACCATTTTAAACATAACTGCGATTGTGTTCGTCTGAAAGAGGAATGTTAGGATGCGTTCACACTTCGGTTCGGTTCTCTTGGTTCGTTTGATCGTGACGGAACTCACTGAACACCCCAAACAAAAGGTGTGTTCGACTTAAAGTGGCGCTGCTCAGACCGATTGGTGTGTGACATCAAAGTACCCATTCACCGATTGGTCTGCTCAGCGCTGCTTTAAGTTGAATACACCTAATGCCGTCTGCTGGACTGCATTGCCATTGTTGCTTGTACTTATGATTTTATTTTCACCACCTGCGAACTCACGAAGAGCTCATAAAAGGCACTTTACCAAAATATCCATATTCAAAACGTAATAATCACTTTAATGTAGCTTGCGCCAACAGCTGTACACGGAAGCAGCTCCGGGAGGATGATGTATGAGTTCAGCGTTGAGCATGTGCCGGAGAGTCTCGTGAAAACCAACGTTTGTTAACAGGAGCAAAGGAAGCAAAGTTTTTCAGTTCATAAATTCTATAATTATCTTGTTTATCAGATGTTCCTAGGTAATTACCTACATTGTAAAACCGTTTTACCCCTAAAAAAAGTAATACTTTGCAACTAATTGAGTTAGCTTGCAATTAGATGTTTGTTTAACTTTTAACCTTCCCCTTGATCCTCAGCTGTGCAGTTTTGTTTTGCTTTTGTGATTTGGTTATAAATAGGTCCATGATAATTGCTCAACTACATTATTTGTATCTGATATCTTGACTGTGATGTTATTCCAGATGATTCTGCAGGATTCTCCAGAGCAGTCAGAAATGCGTTCATTCCCTGGCCCACTCGTCAAGTAATAGTCCTGCTTTATTTACTGAATAAAAGTGTACATGTGTCTACTCTGACACTGTTAGAGCCACTTACACAGACAAACAATCCAGTCATCGTCTCATGTGTATGTCCACAGAGAGGAGACTCATAAGGTGGATGTCATAAAGTTTGCTCAGAACAAAGCCCAAGAGTGTTTGCGAAATGATGACCTCATCGACAAAGACTCCGCCTACCTCATCTGGGAGTTCATTGTGCTGCTGTGTCGCCAGAATGGGGTGAGTGTTTGTGCAGCCCTAGCCTTAACTAAGAGTGTGTATTGTGTTTGGTTTCTTGTTTGATACCAATTCCTTTTTTTAGTATACCGAGTAGTTTTTCGTCTTTGTTTTAGACAGTAGTGGGCACAGACATCGCTGACCTGTTACTAAAGGAGCATCGCTCTGTCTGGTTGCCGGGAAAATCACCCAATGAGGCTAATCTCATCGACTTCAACAATGAAGCAATAGAGCATGCTGAGGAGGAAGAGGCGGGGCCAATATCCCTTCTATCAGACACTTTCATGGGCGTGCCAGAGAATGTTGGCAAGGAGACGGAGCGTTTCAGAGAACTACTACTATTCGGCCGCAAGAAGGCGAGACAAAATGCATGACTTTCCTTCCCCCCTTCAGCCATATAGAGACCACTTTTCATGATCCAGTCGGTTCCAATGGATAGCATGAAGTCCTCGACCATATTGTTACTGGTTGAATATCCTGTTCAATTTTAGATTGTGGAAGTTTGTTCATTTAAACGAATCAAAATATTTTTTATAATAATATTGTCTAGTCATATTGCATGGGGAAAGGGAATACTTTTTAAATTTTTTGTGTCCTTAGCTGATCACATGCCTGCATATTATTTTATGTGGATGTAGATTACATCTTTGTCCTCATTGACAAAGCCATATATTTAAACAGTGGAAAGACAATTGAGAAGTGTGTGTATGTTTGTTAGGATGCTCTGGAGTCTGCTATGAAGAATGGCCTGTGGGGTCATGCGCTGTTACTGGCCAGTAAGATGGACAACAGAACACACGCCGCGTGCCAGAGAATGTTGGCAAGGAGACAGAGCGTTTCAGAGAACTACTACTATTCGGCCGCAAGAAGGCGAGACAAAATGCATTACTTTCCTTCCCCCCTTCAGCCATATAGAGACCACTTTTCATGATCCAGTCGGTTCCAATGGATAGCATGAAGTGCTCGACCATATTGTTACTGGTTGAATATCCTGTTCAATTTTAGATTGTGGAAGTTTGTTCATTTAAACGAATCAAAATATTTTTTATAATAATATTGTCTAGTCATATTGCATGGGGAAAGGGAATACTTTTTAATTTTTTTTTGTCCTTAGCTGATCACATGCCTGCATATTATTTTATGTGGATGTAGATTACATCTTTGTCCTCATTGACAAAGCCATATATTTAAACAGTGGAAAGACAATTGAGAAGTGTGTGTATGTTTGTTAGGATGCTCTGGAGTCTGCTATGAAGAATGGTCTGTGGGGTCACGCGCTGTTACTGGCCAGTAAGATGGACAACAGAACACACGCGCGTGTCATGACCAGGTAAACCACATCTACTTACAGTGACCTATGGCTGCATGGTTTCAAAGCAACAAATAGGGGCTTAAATTGTGTTTATATTTGTTGTTTTCAGATTTGCCAACAGCCTGCCTATTAACGACCCTCTTCAGACGGTGTACCAGCTCATGTCAGGACGAATGCCAGCTGCTGCTACTGTATGGGAGAGTTTTTGTGCGTTGGATGTGTTAATTTAGTAATTTACGCAATGCTTGACTTCACATACATCTTCTGTTTCTCTGACAGTGTTGCGGAGATGAGAAATGGGGCGATTGGCGCCCTCATCTGGCCATGGTGCTATCCAACCTCACACACACTCTAGATCTTGACACCCGCACCATTTCCACCATGGGGGACACTTTAGGTATATAAACGTAGATGCAAAGCATAAACACATTTTGTAGTAGCCCTGGATCTGTAGTCAAGACTGTTCTGTGTTTCACAGCATCTAAAAGTCTAGTGGATGCAGCCCATTTTTGTTACCTGATGGCTCAGGTGGGTTTTGGTGTTTACACCAAGAAAAGCACCAAGATGGTCCTTATCGGTTCCAATCACAGGTTTGTAAGAACACATACAGTTGATTAGAGATATGTATTCACACAACTATACACATCAAGGAGATAAAATGTGCAAATGCACATTGCATTTGTTTGCATTAACACCCATTCACTCTGTCTCTCTCCCAGCTTGCCATTTTTGAAGTTCTGCTCGTCAGAGGCGATTCAGCGTACAGAATCGTATGAATACGCTCAGTCTCTTAGCTCTCAGCCTCTCTCTCTGCCGAACTTCCAGGTGAGACAAACACGTATGCATGCAGTTACTCTACTAGGGATGTTTTTACAAACAAACTAGTTGGCGGCCTGTCTGACAGATAAATGGACTATTCAGTTTTATAGACAACATTTTATAATTAGGCTAGTTAGGCCTATCTGTACTAGGACTGTACAATATATTGAAATAAAAGTCAATATTGCAATATGGCTTAATGCGATAGACAAATTGTGATAGCTGCAATGATTAAATTAATATACGCATTGTGGGTTTCAGAAGGAAGTGCGGCACTATCTTTTTTTACACACGTACAGCTTATGATCCGCTGTTTCAGTGTCTTATGGCGGCTTGGTTCATTTACTATGAACCGAGCCAATTTTAGAAGCTGAAACAGCATATCACAAGCTGTACGCGTGTAAATGAACACAGTGCCATGCTTTACTCTGAAACCATCAGTGCATATATTTATTTGCAGACAAATGCCAAAATGAAAACTTGATGAAAATGAAAATTAACAATATTTATATTATTTTACAGTTGTACATTAAAATTAAATGATTTCTTTTATTCTAATTAAATACTTGATTTTGTTATTTTACATGGTAATGGTATTATTTGCATTAAATAAACAGCAAATAATACTATTTGCTTTTTTTAAACTGTTTTCTTTATGGTCACTGAAGGAGGTTTGAGTTGGTTCTTGTAAAGAGAAAACCCAAGTGAGAAAATCCAGATTTGTCAGGTTTTTCCCATGTTGTTTAACCATAAAAGGTTGGTTTGCACTCAGAAAAGTCTTCAGAATCAACTGTAATTTTTCAGCTTTTTTTTATTATTTTGACTGTATTTTTCCTATTATTTTGACTTCCCAACAGAATCACCCCAGTCATTCTAGAATGATTAATTCTTTCTAAAATAGTCCAATGCCGTGCAGCCCTAATATTTACAGGTCATGACCCTTTAACCTATACAGGTGTTCAAGTTCATCTACGCGTGTCGACTGGCGGAGACGGGATTCTGCTCTCAAGCCTTCCATTACTGTGAGGTCATCTCACGCACCCTGTTGAGCCTACCTGAGTACTTCTCACCTGTGTTCATCAGTCAGCTCATACAGGTACTCAAACCAATAGGCTTCAGATGATTCTGCCTGTCTCTGAGTTTACATTTTTGTCTAATCTTTCTTCTCGTGTTTGATTACAGATGTCTCTGAGGTTGAGGTTTTTTGACCCTCAGCTGAAGGAGAGACCAGAGCAGGAGTTGTTTATAGAGCCTGGTTGGTTACTGCATCTTAGACAACTCGATGGGCAGATCAAGGTGTGTCTGTTTTCTTTTATCCATAAGTCATCATGCCAGTGACACGTTATTTACATGCATTACTCTGTTCCTACATAGTACCAGTAAATTAACGATTTTCTTTTTGAATTAATAGCATAATACCAGAAAAGGCTGATTAATTGAAATAAAATTGAACTTATGTGATATGGCTTTGTAATGAGAAGCGTTTACCAACATGCTTGCCAACAATGAGAAACCTTAAGGCTTGTAAATATAAAATAAAAGCTTGATGGTTTAACATTTGAAAATGATGAAATTAAGACATTAATATTAGTATTGTCATTTTGAAGTTGTACTGTAAAATAAAATTATTATTGTTATTAAATACTCTTATTTTAAGTTAAAATGTTCTTATTACAATAGTAATATATATTTTTTTTTAATCATCCTCATCGTTATTATTATTGATTTATATAGTGATGTTTATATAATATATAATTTATACAATTTATAATTATATTGATGTGTAACTGCAACATTTTGGCCAAATTTTGCAGTCGTGTAAACAGCACAAACAACAACAACAAAAAAATCACATTTTAAATTAGTTACATTATTTTATCAGGAAAAATCGCAATAAATCAGGTTTATAATATTTCTTATTATGTTTAATATTTTATTTAATAATAATATTAACAATGATCATCATCATCAAAATCTTAATAATAATAATAATTATTATTATTATTATCATTATTATTATTATTATTATATAGTTATATTGATAAATAATTGCAGTATTTTTGGCCAAATTGTGTAGCTCTGAAGCTCTTTTAAAAAAAAAAAAGTAATAAATTGCAATCGCCATTTTAATCAATATGTCAACAGAATAACCTTTTTCCCCAAATCATGCAGTCATACCAGAGTTACTTGTTCAGTGAAGAAATGCACTTATATTTTTGTACGTTCACATTAGACTGTGTTCCGATCACGTGCATTTTATTGTCCCATTCAGGATGGTGCGATCACCTTACGTGCAGATCACAGCACCTCACTGCTTTATCACTGCAGTACGCCCAGTTCAGAAGACCACTGCAGCCCACCTGACCCCTCGACTCTGAACCCTGATCCCCACAATCCTCTCATGGCCTCCCTTCTGCCCTCAGCTGGTGTTCAACTCGTGCCTCCAGGTATGACTCAGTATAGAATGTGAACTTAAGAAGAATCTATTTTGATTCTGTAATCATTCACCATCTATTTTATTGTCTCCTTTAGCTCCTCCCACTATTCTTCAGGATGGGGCTGTCCCTCTGCAGCAGACCCCGCCTTCGGGTGAAAGCGTTCCATTCTACCCAGTGGCCCCGGGGCCACCACAGCCAAATTTTGCAGCACCGTTCCAACCTGAAATGCATGAGCAATACATGCCCATGCCACCCCAAATACCCACACAAATACCCCAACAAATGCCCCCACAAATTCCAACGTACAGCCCTACAGAAATGCCTCTACAGATGCCACCAGGAATGCCACATCAGATGCCCCCACCAATGCCTGGGGCTGAACATGGCTATGCCCCTTCCTCTCCTCAGCAGTTCCCCCAGACGTCTCCCTCGTTCACTGCCCCCCCTCCACAAGGGAAGGACTTCTATGATGAAATGGCACGCATGGTGAGTTACAATAAGCCAGAAACCCAAAATTCCTATTTATTGCAACAACTAACTGGCTGTTATTACTATTTAAAGTAATGTTACCTTGTTGCATAAAATGTAGCATCATTACTTTTAATGGAATATAACACATTAGTTATGTTAGTTTCATATTTTCTTGGATTTTGTTGCCTGTTACTCCATATTTACTGCCATCACCAATGTCGGGTAATATTGCTTTTTAAATGCATGACATTGTATTACTCGTACAAAGAATAGATTGTTAAATATTTAGTTTTTATGGAATATAACGCTTATATTCTATGAAATCTATTAAACCAATTGCTCTTTTTAAGGGCCCAGGCAGAAGATCAAGAACCACTTCACAGTCATCAGTGCAACTGGTACAGTCTATACATATACATACACACAGTACCGTTTTTTTAAATTAATATGCAAGTTCAGCAAGGGTGCATCAAATTAATACAAAATTACAGTAAAGACCTTTATGATGTTGCAAAAGACTTCTGTTTCTAATAAATGCTGTGCTTTTGAACTTTCCACAAAAATATGAAGCTGCACAACTGTTTTCAACATTAATAATAATAGGAAATATTTCTTGAGCAGCAAATCAGCATATAAGAATGATTTCTGAAGGAACATGTGACACTGAAGACGAGTAATGATGCTGAAAATTCAGCTTTGATCACAGGAATAAATTACATTTTACAATATATTTAAATACAACAGTTATTTTACGTTTTAATAATATTTCACAATATTACTGTTTTTACTATATTTGATCAAATAAATGCAGCATCGATGAGCATAAGTGACTTTCAAAATCATTTAAAAAAAATGACCAACTCCACACATTTTTACATTAGTGTATTTGGTGTTTAAACAAACTTTCTTCTGATTTGCAGACATCAGGTCGTCGGTCTCGCACAACATCAGAATCGTCCAATCATTCTGGACGGGAGCGCAGCAGTTCTCTAGCCAATCAGGGCTCTCCACCGCCTCCTCCTATCCCAGAGGCTCCACCACAGGACAAACCCAAGAAGTCCAAGAAAGACTCTCCCAAAAAAGTACATACTTACATATAAACATATACTGAGACCCACTGGATATGCATTAGAAAATCTTTCACAATTAAAATTTCGTTCTTCGTCAGGGAGCGAGTGGTGGCTGGCTGACCTGGCTGTATCCAAAGCGCAAGAGCGAAGCACATCTGCCAGATGACAAGAACAAATCTGTAGGCACCTACTTCCAACAACATCCTGCTCTCTCTCATGATCGTCTTGTCTTTTCATAGCATTGATTAAGAGAAAACTTTGATTTTTCAGATTGTCTGGGATGAAAAGAAGCAGAAATGGGTGAATCTGGATGAACCAGAGGAAGAGGTACAGCACAAGAATTTAGTGTTGTCAAAAGTACCGATGTCCGTACTGAAATGTAAAAAATGTGCCATTGTGTTCACACGCTCAACAGATATGTCTGTGATTGGCTACAATGATCATCGCTTCACAATCTCTTCACCGAGCACTTACACAGATACACACGGGAGCGTTTGAAAGCCACTTCTATCGGCAGATCCGTCAATGAGCAGATATATTAGGGATCCGCTGATAGACGCAGCTTTCAAACATCGGTACTTTTGACAACACTTCAAGAATTCATGCATTTCAAATACTGTATTTTATTGTGCATGCATCATTTTGAATGATGGTATTTGTATTAGGTTTGGGCCGATAGACGATGCCATCGTCCATTGCCGATGGCTGATAGACATCACGATGTTGAGCCGGCATGGTGACGCGCCGCATCAGCTAAAGTCTGTCTACACTGGATGCGACAAAGCAACCGTTGAAAATCATTTGAAATTTGTGTCAGCACGTCATAAATAGAACGCGGCAGCATTTTAATGTCGGGGATTTGTCGCACCGCGCCGCATCCAGTGTAGACGCTTCGTGCACACCCCTTCCCCCGTCATCATCCATCGCGATGTTTCACTGTAGACATCGTCTGATGCAAATTTTGTCGACATCGCCCAACCCTAATTTGTATGTGTTTCAGAGCAAACCCCCTCCTCCTCCACCTACCGGATTCCCCAAAGCTCCAATGGGAGGGATGAGGCCACCAGGAGCGGGTGGTCCTGCAGGGGGGCCACCTGTGAATATGTTCTCCAGGAGAGCGGGTGTGTCACCTTTTCTTTTCCTAATTACTTATTAATGAGAAATCTGTCCATTTAATAATCTTCTAGTAAAATTATATACATGTATTTCCTCTGGAATACAAGGGTTTAATTTTTCTAGAAGATACAGAATTTTGACCAAACAGTCATTGCTGCCAAAAATGATATTTGTTAATTTAAATAAAGCTAATAAAATATCAATTAGATAAAAAATTAGATAACTTGAAGTATTAAAATGACTAAAACTGAAATGAAAATAAAGATAAATAAAAATATTTTAAAAATACAAAAGATATTACAAAAGCACTTAAATTCATTAAAACAAGCTAAAATTAAAATGAAAATTTAAAATATAAAAATAAAAGCTAGTTAAAAATATTAATAAGTACTAAAATAGTATATAAATACTAAAATAACTATGTGCCAAATACATAAAAATGTTATTGTCTTAGTTTTTAATTTTCAAATTAAAAACTAAAACAGTACAAATCCAATAGTTAAAATAATCAAGGCATTTTATACATTGAATGAACATGGAGAAGAATGATATTTGTTCATAGGTACCAGTAGTACAAAACAAAGTAGTAAATGGCAATATTTACCTATTTATATTTTATTGAAATATTAAAAAATGTTAATCGGCTCACAGGGACTTTGATGAGCCAAACAAACTGATGAATCAATTCTTTGAAATGGACAGTTTTCTTCCCAAATCTATTACTATTCTGTGCTAAAGCGGTTTAAATCAAAGACACACTATTAAGTGAGTGACGTGACATGTGGCCAAGTATGGTGACCCATACTCGGAATTAGTGCTCTGCATTTACCCATCCAAAGTGCACACACACAGCAGTGAACACACACAAACCGTGAACACACACCCGGAGCAGTGGGCCTCCATTTATGCTGCGGTGCCCGGGGAGCAGTTGGGGGTTCGGTGCCTTGCTCAAGGGCACCTTAGTCATGGTATTGAAGGTGGGAGAGAGCACTGTACATTCACTCCCCCCACCTACAATTCCTGCCGGTACGAGACTCGAACCCACAAACTTTGGGTTATGAGTCCGACTCTCTAACCATTAGGCCACGACTTCCCCCACGATTAATGTCTCTTCGTCTTTAATCTGTCGTAACTGCAAGTAATGCTCTTGGCTGTTTGTAAGTGAGTTTGCGTGTGTGTTTCAGGTACTAAGAGCCGTTATGTGGACGTGTTGAATCCCGGTCGTGGAGGATCTAAACCGGCAGCTGCAGTACCGCCTCCTGCTGACCTGTTTGCTCCTCTCGCTCCCATGGCTATGCCAGCCAACCTCTTTACACCAGCTGCAGGTGTGTATGTGTACGTCAGTGTGTTAAAGTACATCACTGTAAGTCTGTGTGACGTCTAACACGGCTGTGTGACGGCTGTTTTCAGCCCCAGATGAGCAGCATCAGCCGATGGAGGGAAGCGTTCCAGATGCCAGTGGAGAAAAAACAGCGCAGACTAGTGCCACAGTGCCACAGGTACACAATATCCATATAAACACACAATGTCTACAATTTTACTTTTGTCATAACTGGCAGTTTGAGCCTAACAGTGGAACTATTTTTGGTACTTCCCAGCTAAATGTCTTTTTTACAGTTGGCATTTTATATCTCTTTTATTTGATTTGCTCGTTCACATATTTGTATATTTTATATTTTATTTGTTTGTTCATTTATTTATATTCATTTCACGTTTTTAACTCACCAGAGACATTTTATATTATTTTATTTATTTTATTCACCAGAGGAAGGTTTTTTTTTAAATTCTTTTTTAAAAATTTTTATTTTAATTTACTGATCAGAGCCGGTTTGGTTGTTTGTTTGTTTTTCTCTGGCATTTGGTTATTTAATTCATTAGTTAATTTTTTTTATTGGATCCTAATTCTGTGCAGACATGCTTTTTAATACACATCCACTATAATGAGTGTGTTTTCCATCTAGATGTTTAATCCGAATGCTTTGCCTCCTGGCCTGGAGGGAACCCAGTCTGGAGAGGTCAGATCCTCCTTTAATATCTTGCCAGTTCTCCTTTAAAGCCACTTCATCCTGTCACACCCTGCTCCTTCACCCATGAATTAATACAATTAAAACAACATGTGCTCATATGTACAGTTACTACCTCTGAAAAACACAAACACGTGAACTTGCATCTCTAACTGTATTCTATGATTATTGGCTTTGATTATGATCACACAAAGAGCATGAGTGTGTGCGAGCGTGTTTGAGAGCGAGAGCGCATGTTAAGGACTACATGCTACTGAGGCGTTGCCATGGCGACCATCGATCGTGATATAATCTTACTGTAGTGATTGACAAGAGATGTGTGATTTAAGATGGCGCTGCATGGAATTAATTTGGGTTTGTGGTGTTTTTGTTTGTTTGTTTCGTTTATTCCTGCTGTTCTAGCTGTCACGTTCTAGCTCAATGAGTTCTCTATCTCGAGAAGTGAGTCAGCATTTAAATCAGGTACTTTCAGCTGGTTCTTATCTGAAACACACACACATGCACACCTTTTCCAGACACTGCAATAATAAAACAACAGTGCTTTCTAAATCACATGCACACATGTTGTCTGCACGCTTCTAACACCACACACTTGTAGCCACACCTTCAGCACGAAACCTTTATATGTCACCAGCGGCCCTGTCGGCCAATAAGAAGGGCTCTTGGATTTCAGAGGCGTGCTGAAGATCGAGGCCCCGGCCCTTTTGGTGCACGCATACAGTAACCAATCACGTGCTGCATGCTAATCATGACTTTCTGTGGGCATGGCCGTCTATATCCATGGAGATGCATGGTGATGTTGCTCTCCTGTTCCTATGGTAACCGTAAATGTGTTCTCATAGGTTCCCGCTCAGCCGCCAGCACAAGGAGCTCCACCTGCAGGAGGCGTGACATTTTATAACCCCTCCCAGTTTGCACAGGTACGAATCTGAAGGGAAGTTTACGGCGAGACTGACATCGTTGCCAAATCAGTGTTGTTATTGTCAACTAAAACTATTACAAAATCACTTTTGTTGCTGAAATAAAATATAAATGTTAAATTAAAACATGAAAATTAGAAATGTTATTTTTGCAGCTAACTGAAATAAAGTAAGCTGAAGTACTAAAATGACTAAAAGTGAAATAAAAATAAATGAAATCTGATTAGAAATACTTTCTAAAAGCACATAAAAATGACTAAAGCCTAAACTAAAATTAAAACGGTATTAATTAAAAAAAATTAAAATGACAAAGCACTTAAATTTATTAAAACAAATTATTAAATAATTTAATTTAAAAAATGATTTAAATGAAAACTGAAAATATAAAAATAATTCATTCAAAATCATGAATACTATAATTGTATATATAATAATTTTTCCGTACATTTTTGCCATATGTACATTAACTGACAGTCACCTCTGATAAGCTATCACTAAATATTGTAGAAACTTAATTTGCTGTAAAGTTGCTTTGCAACGATTTGTATCGTGAAAAACGCTGTACAAATCAACTTGAATTGAATATCTGTTCATTTGTACCAATACAACGAAACATAATAAATAATGAATGGCAATATTTACCACTGGTTAATGAGGTAAAAAAACAAAAAACGAATCGGTACATCCCACAGTACATTAAGAGAATTGTTTTGTACAAGTTATGTTTTCATGTGCAAATGAGGTACTAAATTGCATGCATTTCCAGAAAATACATCTGGACATTGGATATAACCAGTTTTAAAGTTTTTTTTAATTTTTATGAAGTTCTTAAGCTTATTGAGTTATAGGAATAAAAGTCTGGTACTAAAAGTGCTACTAAAGTGGAGATTTGTCAAAACTCATTTAGGCCTTTATAGATATGTATTGTAACTGAAATCTAGACTCAAATAGATAAAAAAAAGTGTAATAAAATAAACACTTAAAAGTGTATTTGAGATGTTTTCTTTCCACTAGTCTCCACCAGTGCATGAAAAAAAAAGCGTGGTTTTGCATTAGAAACTGACATCTAAATGTCTTTCTCTGTCTTTTTCAGTCTGTTCCCACAAGCCGCACTCGACCTGGTCGTCTGGGACAGAGAGGATACCCCACACTGAAATAACAGTATCGCTGTAGTTCTAGATCAAACTGTGGTTCTAGACCAGATCCGACTGAAGTTTGGTTACTGCCTGGACTCCTGGAAGCGCCGACATGCGGCCCTCAGCCTCCCAAATAACATTGTCGCTGTCATAATCCTGGTTTTCCCATCTGTGCTGAAGTCTGAGTGAGCGGATCATTCTTCATTTCTCCTTCTAGACTCCTCGTACCCGTTACGGTCTAACTCTATCCTCTTGTTCTGTGTTTGTACGGACCGGGCGGCACTTCCTCAACGTGAGCAGTGTGAATATAAGTGCAATATGTCCATTTTTAGCCCTGTGTAGTTTGATTTCCTTTAATAGTCTGCTCATTTCAGCAAGGGTGAATGCGAGTGCATGTGAGCGCGCGTGTTTGTGTGTGTGGGGAGGAAATGTGGGCGTGTCTTGCTGATGGAAGGCAGCCAATGCATGAGTTAGAGGGCGGTCTGGCCTGTTGTACCAGAATGTTTTAGATATTTATTAAGCTTCCTGTCGGAATGAAACAGTCGAAACGCTGTTGCCGGACAGGATCCATACATCAGAGTGAGTTTGTGTACGCATAGTCATGACGTGCTAAACAAACCCATCTCTTTTTCCATCTCCTGATTGAATCCTTAATTTTGCCAGTAGCGAAGAATCATACAGTTATATGATTTCCCAAAATCCTGTGATCATTGTGTGTGTTATGCTCATAAAATATCATTTATTATTTTCCTGGCTTTATCTCGCTCTCTGATCGGTCGTCTTCATGTCTCTTAATCACACGCCATTATTCCTTTGCTCGTTCCGGGGTTCTTGTTCCCATGGTAAAAGCGGGGTTTTGTAATTCCGAAGGTCTGCTCTGTTTGAAGGAAGCTCAGACTTTTCCAATGTGTTTAGAAATTGACTGTACAATTCTTGATAAAGTGATAATAAAGATATTTTTGAGCTCTTTAATGCTTTAGAGTGTTTTTATTAAAGTACAGATATGGTACGTCTTAATTTTAATACGAGGTTATTAAATTTGCATGCATAATTTTATAAAAGAATTAGCAAAATGGTATTTAAAATGGTTGTAGATGGATATAAACTAACCGTGTTCAAAAGTTTGGGGTCGGCAAGATGCTCGCCAAGGTGATTTGATCAGAAAAACAGTAATATTGTGAAATATTACAATTTATAACAACTCTTTTCTATATCAATATATTTTAAAATGTATTCATGTGACGCAAAGTTGAATCTTCAGCATCATTCCTCCAGTCTTCAGTGTCACATAATCCTTCAGAAATCATTCTAATATGCTGCTCAAGAAACATTTCTGATTATTATCAATGTTGAAAACAAATGTGCTGCTTCATACTTTCTGTAAAATCCGTGATTTTTTTTTTTTGTGAAAAATAACTACATTTATTTGAAATTTAAATATTATGTAACAAATGTCCATACTGTGAATTTTGATCAATTTAATGCATGCTTGCTGAATATATAAACAATTTTAATTGAAAATGCAATTAAAACGGTTCTTAAAACTATTTAATCATTTCTTTAATATCGTCATGATGTAATACTTTATGAATTTACATGAATCTCAAACAAAACTACAGCGTGAAACCTTTCATTATTTTATTATTTACAGACAAATATATTATTTTGAACTAAACTAAATAGGGAAAAATTGAAATGATAGCAGATTAATGCACAAATCATCAAAATATTGTAAGCATGCTCGTAAAAATGTGTGGACGCCCCTGGAATGTCAAAAGCCATGACCTAGTGGTTAATGCACATGCTCTAGATGCCTTTAGCTGAGGTGCTCATGCAGGTGAAGGAGGTTTGCATCCAGCCTCTGATGTATTCTGACACAATCCCCCCCTTTTTTTCATATCAAAAAAGTGGCAAAAATCCTAAAAAGGAAGTCCATGTAAACAATGTCTTGTATGCAAGTAAAAAAATACAGCAATCTAGGCCTAAAGTTCCTTGCAGTCACGTGTTCTGCAGAGATTCCAAGCCTCATTCTGACATTTCTGTACGTGTTGGGTTCAAAGCGCCCTCCTGTGGACAAAAAGAAAAACATTTATTTAAAGCGTTACTTGGTCACTATTCAAAAAGTAAAAGTTCACTGCTCTTCTATAGCTAAAAGTTGTGGTTGTAGGGAATACTAGCTTAAAGAGCATGCACAAATGCATACACACAAATTACAATAAAGCAGTGGGAGTGTGTGTTTATTTGGTTAAAGTACCAGTGCACTTTTAGCTCTTTGAACTGCGACTTCCAACATGCTCCGGTCGGACAGAATCTGTTTCAGCGATCCAGAATCCATTTCCAGTAGCATCCCTACATACACAAATGTTCACACATCCATCATATCACACAGTGTGTACAAAAACCATCTCAAGAAGTCTGAAGTCAAATGAACTGAGTAACTCACCAGTGATGTCAGCGCAGTGGGTGGGGTCTAACTGATGCACAATATTGAAAAGCGTCTCGCCAATGGATTCCACTTCCTCTCGATCAGAGCCGTCACTCACATCTGTCGCCTCGTCACCCTGCCTGAGCCACAGATAAACAGAGCACTTCGTTTCTTGCACGTTTGAAACTTTCCAAATACACTGCGTAATATTTGCTGAATGAAATCCAATAGTTGTTTCTTACTAATTTTGAGATGTTGATTCCAAAAACAGTGGTTGTTTTGCTGAAGCTTGAGCAAAATTGTGCAATTATGATGCATTTCGTTGCATTTTTGCATTCGACAACCATTTGTGAGATGAAGAAATCTTGTATGATCTTTTAACTGACACACAGACATGACTCCTGTCTGAATCTGAGCAGATTACAACTGTTTGTTCAATTCTCAGCACCTTTTCACAAGTAGGAATGATTCAGAAGATATTATTTTATGCCTAATCCTGATTTTTCAACGCCGCTGTTAAAAAATCCAAAAGCACCTACTCCTGCAAGGTTTTCAAGGCGATCTTGACTTGTTCCTCGAGGAGCGAATGATCCGATAGCAGCTGAAGCACCGCCTCCTTCTTCTGCTCCAATAACATGCCTGTATAGTTGTCAAAGTAACGTAACTATTCCAACAGACTTTGAATTCCCTCCTTTGGTGTTTTTGCAGCGTGTCAGTAAATGTACCTGTTATTTTCTGTGTGTGTCCAGTGTTGTAGAGGTCAATGAGGTCAAACAGCTGTTCACCCAGAGAGTCGGAGGACACAGACACCGCATCATCAGTGTGCGATACGGGGTCACTGGGAAGAGAATACGACAGAGCTTATATTATGTACTGCCAACTACTGTTTTTCTCCTAAATAAATGTCTTTTCAAGAAACATTTTAAGTAGTTGTATCCTACATTGTTGTCCTGTGATGTCACTACCAGTGTTGGGGAAAGTTACTTTTAAAAGTAATGCATTACAATATTGCGTTACTCCATAAAAAAGTAACTAATTACGTTACTTAGTTACTTTTTGTGAAAAGTAATGCGTTACGTTACTTTTGCGTTACTTTTAAAATCTGGACAGGGCTTGCTTGTTTGTTTTTAAAATAAAAAAAGTTCTATTTTTGGCAAATATAAAAGCATTTTCACACCAAAAGTGAAATGAATAAGCCTCAGGCTGAAGGGAAAGTACATTTACGTCCGTACAGTAGAATGCAGAAGAAGACATTTCAACACACTTCAGCAATAAACAAAGACACACAAATGTTTGTCTAGAGTAATTTGTGCTTATTAGTACGGTTGAACTGGATCATCGAAGGTCAGAAGCAAATAGAATGGGATTAAATGCATAAAGCATATTTGTGTTGTTTAACATTTAATTATTGCAGGTTTACGTCATATTCTGAGTTGCATTATTTTTATTAATTTTGAGCAATACTGAATCTGTGTTGTTTTTTGTGAGTGAGATTAATTAATGCATATATTTATTTTAGAACTACAGTAACATCTGATTTCTCTCAACATGAGGACAGGAGAGCTGCCAATCAATAAATTGCTTTAAAAAAAGTAACGTGCGTTACTTATTTGAAAAAGTAACTCAGATATTCTCTTGTAAATTAAAAAGTAATGCGTTATTTTACTAGTTACTTGAAAAAAGTAATCTAATTACGTAACTCGCGTTACTTGTAATGCGTTACCCCCAACACTGGTCACTACATTGCATGCTCTATTCTGAGATTTGTGTCCAGTATTTCGCATTTTATGTTCAATTTTGTAAAAAAAAAAATCAGTGTGATACCCGTTGTCCGATGATGTGAGAGCGGTCAGTGCTCTTTCCAGTGCTTTATTCAGCAGAGCTTCATCATACAACATCTGAGATACAACAGAAACCGGCAGCTCCAACAACATACCTGCAAACATCACACAGCTCAACTTAAACTAAAATCATCACAATATTAGATAGATAGATAGATAGATAGATAGATAGATAGATAGATAGATAGATAGATAGTGTGTCACCAGTAAGTTTAGGTGTCATCTCAGTGTATTTAGGATATATCAGATCATACAGTTTCTCTCCCAGAGTCTCCAGATCTTCATCATTCTCCATCACTGCAGCATTACCTGCTTATTTAATCATACGAATTACAATATAATCTGTCTATACTCCGCCGCCATTTATATGATCTAACTGTCCTCAATGAGGTTGAATAGGAATCATAATAATGTATTTACAGCAGGCATCAGAGCTGGGTTGTTGTTGTGGTTCGAGGACGCATGAACATGACGTAGAGCACACAGAGCGCGTGACGTACACCAGCTGCATCACTAACGGCTGCGCTGTTCGTCCCCCTCCGCACTGCACATCAAACATATAGTCCTGCTTAAAATAGATATTTAACGAAGGATTTCTAAATACATTCCTAAAATCTATTTGAAAAGAGATCTTTAACATATTTTCATTTTTTTCCCTCAGTCTGAAAAAGAAGGTAAATGACTAAGTTACTAATCCTCAACACAGAGGCGTAAGAAAGTACGAAAGCTCCACCGGAACTAGAACTCATTCCTTTCCATCGCTTTTCCGCTGCTGAAAAGGTAACGTGGTCGTCTTGTGTTGCTTTTCAACGTTCGATTACACGCTTTATAACGCACATTGCAGCATTAAACGGGTATATATCTGCGTCGAATATGTTATAAGTTGCTTATGAGTTACACCACTCTGTAGTGACAATAAAAAGGAGGATATTTCATTATAAACACTGCCGGTGTTGTTTAGTGAGGCCTTCAGTGAGTGAGAGACGAGCACCGTACTGCTAACGCTAGCCAGGGTGAAACCAGTCTAGACTGTTTGATAGTTTGGATATACTTACAATCAGAGCGTTACTTATGTTACTAAGGAGGTTTGTGTGTCATTTTACAGCTCCGGTTTTGTATGAGGGTCTTTGAGTTGGTGATTTGACAGGATTACGGACACAAATTATATTTATTTGTATTTTATATATATATATATATATATGTATATGTGTGTATCTATAGGTATATAGGTGTGTGTATCTATAGGTATATAGGACGAGCACCGTACTGCTAACGCTAGCCAGGGTGAAACCAGTCTAGACTGTTTGATAAAGTTTGGATATACTTACAATCAGAGCGTTACTTATGTTACTAAGGAGGTTTGTGTGTCATTTTACAGCTCCGGTTTTGTATGAGGGTCTTTGAGTTGGTGATTTGACAGGATTACGGACACAAATTATATGTATATATATGTATATGTGTGTATCTATAGGTATATAGGTGTGTGTATCTATAGGTATATAGGTGTGTGTATCTATAGGTATATAGGTGTGTGTATCTATAGGTATATAGGTATGTGTATCTATAGGTATATAGGTATGTGTATCTATAGGTGTGTGTATCTATAGGTATATAGGTGTGTGTATCTATAGGTATATAGGTATGTGCATCTATAGGTATATAGGTATGTGCATCTATAGGTATATAGGTATGTGCATCTATAGGTATATAGGTATGTGCATCTATAGGTATATAGGTATGTGCATCTATAGGTATAGGTATGCGTGTATCTGTAGGTATATGTATGTATGTGTGTGTATCTGTAGGTATATGTGTGTGTGTGTGTAGTGAAATTCATGGTTATTTTGAATTTGCAAAACGTCAATTTCAACAAAAATATAACATTGGAGAACAAAAACATGTAGGAAAATGGTGAAAAATAGATTTGACAGTTTATTATAAATTGTTCTGTAAATGATATATTAAGGTGCAGTTTGCTATGGGTATGTGTTTGATGTGAACTGTCTGTTTTTGAGTATGATCGGTGTATATAATATTTGTTGCCTTTGTTTCATGGGTTCAGGACGGTCATCATGGCATCGCCTCACCTGCAGTGGATGGTCATCAGGAACACCTCCAGTTTCCTTATCAAGAGGAACAAGCAGACCTACAGCACCGTAAGTCACTGCCGTTCAGCTACACTGGTGATGAGACAGGGCTTTACTGGGTTATATTTAATGCACCCATCAATAAGCTGGTGTTGCATGCAGAAATACTGATTCGAGAGAATGGATGCAGGCTTAGATTAAGCAGAGTTCAGAAAAACGAGAGAATTATTTTTCCAATCGTATGTGGTTGTAATCTAGTGTTTCTGCTTCAGGGTTTATCTCTCAGATGCTTACGTTTCTGTTCGTGAGCTGCTGTGTTCCAGTATACTGAGGAAAACTGACACTTTTGAATATGCATAAAAAGTACGATTTGCTAGCTTACTAACTAACTTGTACCAAGGGACACCAATTTTCTCTAAAATAACCTTGGTTAAAAAGTCTCACTTTGTTATACTTTTTATTTTATTGTTTTTAGCTGTTTGTGACCCTGTCTGAACAGCTTTCCGATCATCTAGTTAAGAACTTTGCTGTAGTTATCCCTCTGAATTGCTAATTTGACTGAAAATGTGTTTTTACTGCTTTCTGATCTCAAATATTCTTCCTCTTTTCCAGGAGCCAAATAACCTGAAGGCCAGGAATGCTTTCCGCTTCAATGGTCTCATTCACCGCAAGACTGTAGGCCTCGAGCCAGCCGCTGATGGCAAAGGTGTGGTCGTCATCCTGAAGAAACGTGCAGGTGAGGGGACAAAATTGACACTTGGAGGTTCAGGGGTTCAAATTTTTACACACCATCGAAGCTCAGTGAATTTAGCTTGTGTATATTTAGGACGCTATAAGGTTGCATATTTACAATCAGATGCTGTAGGTCTCAAGCCACAGGACGACAAGGCAATGTGATTTATTTCTGAAATCAGCCGTTAATCTAGACGTCTCTGCTCTGAATATGTTTTTAAACGTCTGCTGGCATTCTTTAAATGTTAAAAGGTTGCATGTGTTCCAGGTCAGTGTAAACCTGCCACCTCATATGAGAAGATCACCATCAACAAGAACTCTCGCGCCACCCTCGCCAGCGTGAGGAACATCATCCGCAAAAATAAATACAGGAAGGATCTGCGCATGGTGAGTTAACACATGCAGATCTGACATGGTCCACAACCCTCTTCTGAAACACATTTTACAGTTTACTTTAGTCATTTGTAATGGGACACATTTTGGAAACCGTTTTAAACTTTCAGTTTAATGTTTATGTAATTCATAAATGCTCTTAAGTTGACAGTATGTTTTGAAATCATGCAGGTTCTTTAAAATCAAGTATGGAGTTGATGCACTTGTTCAGTAGGTGACTGCTCTGTCTCTGTCCTCCAGGCTGCTCTGAGACGCGTCAGCGCCATCCTGAGGAGTCAGAAGCCTGTGGTGGTGAAGAAGAAGCGCTCCAGGGCTCCCAAGAGTTCATAAATAGTTGCATATAAAACTTTTGACTTAATAATAAAGTGCTTTTGGTCAATTTCTCTATCTCCAGGTCTCATTTGTATCAGTCTACTCGCAGTGTTTTGTTTTTTTTCTTTAATTTTGGATGGTCTTAAATTTGCTTGGTTATGCATTTTATGTATCTAAATGCTGGACAAAAAGCAGATGAATGTTTTAAGGATTATCAGGATTTTTCACCATTACATCAACATTTGCGCTTTTTTTTGTTGTTGTATTTTTTCTCTATCAAATCTTTTAGTAAGCATCATATATCATTTGAAAGCTTAGAAGCCCAAGATTAATCCTGTGAAAACCATTTCGAAATCAGACATTGCGTTACCATGGAAATGGTACTTTAAAATCTTTTGGCGGTCTCCTCCCCCTTAGTGGGCGGTGTCAAGTGTTATATTACAAAATTAATTATGGTCTTTTAGAATCAAAACTTTTTATAATCTTGACAAAAAACATATCATTGGAAAGGTCTGAGTCTCAGGAGTCCCATATTTGGTGGTTATTTTGAGAGAAGTAATATTGATTGAGAAATCTAGACATTTGTAACAGAAAAAATGCACCCTGTGGCTGTTTATGGTATAACGCCCTAAATAAAATCTCACAGGAACCTAAATTTTTTTTCATATCAACTTCAAATTTGGAACATAACTTATTTAGACACAAGGCTATAATTTTATACCAATTTAAGAGTAAAACCTGATATGTAAAATATATATAAAAAAATGTATATAGTGCATTTTCTTTACAGTACATTTAAACTACTATAACTTTTTGATACTTAGATTTTTTTTTTAAATTCCACTTGCAATAATTTGCTGATTTTCCTCTTTAAAAAGAGACCAACCTTATGTCTGTATTCCAAATTGTTCATAAATTGCAACAATTTAAGTTTGGATAGTACACCTGCATGCTTATTTAAAAAATGGGGGGTGACAGTTAAAGGGTTAAACCGCTGTGCCCATTGAACATGATGCTTTGTAACAGTTTTTTTTTTTATATGTGTTGCAGGGTGACTTTTTTTCCCTTTCCTAACATGAAGATATTAGAATCTTGCATAACCACATTTAAATGTAAAGTAGATTTCCTGCTGGTGCTCTTGTTTTATCCACTGGGGTCTTAAAGTCTATAAGCTAATCAACAGAAACCCGGAACAGAACATGTCTTTATTTACTCACTCTAATGTCATTCTGAACCTGTATGTCCTTAAAACGTGTGCGATATGTTCTTATTTAATTGTAATTCACTGAAAAGCTTCTCTGCTGCAGCTCTCAAATGTCATTTGGAATATACTGAAGTATTTATTTTAGTATTATGTATTTGTTGAATTAGCTCTTACACTTAGATTTTCAGTATAGGTTGAATTTTTATGTGATTTTGTCATTTTATTTTTTTTAAACTTTTTGGAAATAGATATTTTTTCTGTTATCAATTAGCAGTGATATTTTAGTAATCCTATTGTTTTAATATTTGCATTTTAATTTTATTTGTTGTGATTTTTATTGTTTTTTTTAAATATATATTTCCATATGGCTTTAATTTAGTTTCAGTTGAAATTTTTCTACTTCAACTAATGTTACTTCATTTAGATGCCAAGGCAACATTTCTAACTTTAGATTTTCAGTTTGTTTTTCCTCCAATATTTATATTTTATATCAGTTTTTATTGCTATTGCCAAAAACAATTTGTAATAGTTTTAGTTAACAAGGCATAAGTTATTTGGACCACTTTTACGCCGTGTGTGTCTCTGTGTGTACAGGTTTTTCTGTACTTGTGGGGACTTAAACCTGAATACACACAGACTCATGGGGACTTCTGTCACTGTGGGGATCTAAATTGAGATCCCCATGGGTACAGAAGCTTATAAATCATACAGAATGAGTGTTTTTTTTTGAGATTGTAAAAATGCACAAAGTTTCCTGTGAGGGGTAGGTTTAGGTGTAGGCCGATAGAAAATACAATTTCTACAGTATAAAAACCATTACACCTATGTGGAGTCCCCACAAGGATAGTGAACCAGACTGTGTGTGTACACTGCCACAGTATCTGGTTAT